TCCAAAATTCATATTTTCCGCTTATTTGTTCGGTTAGTAATAATAGAACTGTATGAGATCCTACGAAATGTATGAATAATAATAAGTAATGCTATGAATTCAAGATTAAAATTTATGTTTAATTTTTACTGAATTTATAAATTAAAAATCTGATTTTAATCTCCGCCAACAGAACTAGATTCATGCTAATTTGTATGTACGTAGGCGTAGGAAAAAAAAGTTGTGCGGTAAAAACAAATATAGAGTTACCTAGTCATAGATAAAAAGAGTGGTAAAAAATTTGAAACGGATTTGGAGAAAGAAAATTCACCGAAAACCTTTTTTAAAATTAGGAGGTTGTCAATTAGTGATCGTTATATTTAGTTAATGACTTATCGTAATACTTTTATTATTAAAAAAAATTAATGGATTGTAATTTTTAGCTAATATTTTTCCAGTTTTTTATCAATAAATTAAGGTATATTAATGGTGGATTAAGATATTTATTTTGTGAATTTAAAAAAGATATATAATTTGCCAACATTTTATATAAATATTGGATATAAGGGCGGATTTTCTAAGAAAGAATATTTCCATTTTTCTTTATTATCATTTATATAATTTATTATGTTTAAATATTTTAGAAATTATTTTGTTTAAATTTATTAAATTTTCTACCTTTTCTTATTGCATAAATATTTTCCAATATTTTACTTGTGATGAATTTTCAGTAACATTTTTCTCGTAACAAATAAGCTGACTTTACGATTGTAGAGTTATTATTCATCGGTAAAAAAAAAAAGGTCTCACTGCCAATCAAGGAATTTAATTTTGAATTATATTTCTTGTACATTCTTTGTTGACATCCCTCCATGTGTAGAAAATCTTATCATTGATTGGAAAATATGCTGTAAAAATCAATATATAAAAATTTGCCAACTCACGTGATGTCAAACTTGAGTACATATAGCATGATTGTTTAATTTAGTATTACAACTCGATGAAAAGTAAATTCGATGCACATGATACATTATTCTGCGTCAACAAATGAAATATAAGATCTGTATATGAGTGAATGTACTAGAAACTAAACTTCAATATAAATAAGCCATTGTTTGAGCCACATTATTTTTTTTATTCTCATTCTTCTACTTATTTTCAACCGCGCATTCTTCAATAAAATAATATGTTCGTCACATCAATAACTTTTTTTTCTTTTTCTACCACATATTATCCATCACATCAAACAAAACAATGCATTCTTGGACTCAAAATGTGCACCAAACAGAAATGTATTTAATCTCCAAGTATCTTAGGGCTCGTTGTGAAAAGTCAAATATGAGACTAAGTACTTTTACAAAAAAAATTGGATAAGGTACTTTTTTTCGGAAATTCTTGTATAAGAAGTTTAACTAAAGTAGAAATCCTGACAAACGAACCCTTAAATTTTTAAATTGATGATGAGTTAACATGAACTATCAATTACAATTCTCAGTCAATCACTGAATTAAGTAGCATTGAGATTGCACATTTTTGCTCCAAGAATGCATTTTGTTGGTTGATGTGATGGGGAATATGTGGTTGAAAAAGAAGGAAAAGTTATTGATGTGATGAAAAATATTATTTTATTGAATAATGTGTGATTGAAAATGAGTAAACGAATGAGAATGAAAATATTAATGTGGACCAAACAGGGGCTTAATTTAAAATTTGAATTTCAATTGCTACTAAACAAGGGCTTAATAAAAAATTAATGATCTACGTATGAGAGGCGCGTAAAAAAATTAAACTAAATACTTCTCGCCATCCATTTTGTTATTGATTTATTTTCTACTTACTACTTAGAGACTCCAATTTTAGGGTTTATATTGAATTTTGCTACTATGTTTATCTTATTACTCTATACATTAATGTTCATTAATTTTCTTTGAACTTTATAAACATCTCTACAAGTATAATGCATAATATCATTATATTCATGGAGACATTTAGTTCTCTACATGGCTGCGATATCGGAGAAGGGCTGGATATACTTAAGACGCTATTTGCGCCGATATTAACTTATTCCCATGATTGAAGTAACTATGAAAGTGATAATGAGGCAACAAATTACCTTACACCATAAATGAAGAGGAGGACGCGAAATTTTGAATTAATTCGAATCTTAGTTTTATCATTGGTTGGAGTTACCTCCTTTCCAAAATTCATATTTTCCGCTTATTTGTTCGGTTAGTAATAATAGAACTATATGAGATCCTACGAAATGTATGAATAATAATAAGTAATGCTATGAATTCAAGATTAAAATTAATGTTTAATTTTTACTGAATTTATAAATTAAAAATTTGATTTTAATCTCCGCCAACAGAACTAGATTCATGCTAATTTGTATGTACGTAGGCATACAGTAAAAAAAAGTTGTGAGGTAAAAAACAAATATAGAGTTTCCTAGTCATAGATAAAAAGAGTGGTAAAAAATTTGAAACGGATTTGGAGATAGAAAATTCACCGAAAACCTTTTTTTAAAATTGGGAGGTTGTCAATTAGTGATCGTTATATTTAGTTAATGACTTATCGTAATACTTTTATTATTAAAAAAATAAAAAAAAAATCAATGGATTGTAATTTTTAGTTAATATTTTTCCAGTTTTTTATCAATAAATTAAGGTATATTAATGGTGGATTAAGATATTTATTTTTGAATTAAAAAAAGATATATAATTTGCCAACATTTTATATAAATATTGGATATAAGGGACGGATTTTCTAAGAAAGAATATTTCCATTTTTCTTTATTATCATTTATATAATTTATTATGTAATGATTTTTTTTTCCTTACAAAATCCTTCTCTTTCTCAAAATTAGCCACTACTTGTGATGAATTTTCAGTAACATTTTTCTCGTAACAAATAAGCTGATTTTACGATTGTAGAGTTATTATTCATCAGTTAAAAAAAAAAAAGGTCTCACTGCCAATCAAGGAATTTAATTTTGAATTATATTTCTTGTACATTCTTTGTTGACATCCCTCCATGTGTATAAAATCTGATCGTTGATTGAAAAATATGCTGTTAAAATCAATATATAAAAATCCGCCAACTCACGTGATGTCAAACTTGAGTACATATAGCATGATTGTTTAATTTAGTGTTACAACTCGATGAAAAATAAATTCGATGCACATGATACATTATTCTGCGTCAACAAATGAAATATAAGATCTGTACATGAGTGAATGTACTAGAAACTAAACTTAAATATAAATAAGCCATTGTTTGAGCCACATTTTTTTTTATTCTCATTCTTCTATTCATTTTCAACCACACGTTCTTCAATAAAATAATATTTCTATCACATCAATAACTTTTCCTTCTTTTTCAACCACATATTCTCCATCACATCAAACAAAACAATGCATTCTTGGACTCAGAATGTGCACCAAACAGAAATGTATTTAATCTCCGAGTGTCTTAGGGCTCGTTGTGAAAAGTCAAATATGAGACTAAGTACTTTTACAAAAAAAATTGGATAAGGTACGTTTTTCGGAAATTCTTGTATAAGAAGTTTAACTAAAGTAGAAATCCTGACAAACGAACCCTTAAATTTTTAAATTGATGATGAGTTAACATGGACTATCAATTACAATTCTCAGTCCATCACTGAATTAAGTAGCATTGAGAATCTTCAGATGGAGCTACTAACAGCCTGTTTACATACTTGTTTTGGGCACAAGACAACACAAAAGTTATGCACTAAATGACATATGAGAAAACTAATTACAAGATAAAGACATATTCTTTTAGCAAAAGCATGCACCAAAGTTTTATGAGAATTATATATTTTATAATAAAACTAAGAAAGTACTCTGAAGATCTATGCAACACTTTACTGTATGCACTATATAACTCACTTCAATTATTGATATCAGTATAAGTTGAGAAACGAAATCGAGCTTCACAAAGTTAAAAGTTTGAGACTGTGGACCGATTAACTCGATACTAGAACAATAAATTGAAGCAATGGTGCAATTTTTCGTATTTGAAACTAAAGTTATCTTTCGTTATTTTGGATCAATATAATGTTTTTTTAAGTTAATTATTATATTGATTTATACTATTCTTAAATAAATTTAATAATTCTAAAGTACTACATATATCAAAAATTTCAATTGAAAAAGAGTTAAAAATCATTCGTTAATTTAAAATATACGGGCAAAATTCCCATGACTTCAATTGTTAAGACACCCTAATTCTATAGCATTGAGAGCAACAAAATCACAAAAATAATATAGATACACAGGAATACGTAAGATTTATAGAGATTCGTCCAATATGAAATTACATCCTCGTCCATTGTTGTAGCAATTCACGATGAAAAAAGGAAGTTTATTATATAGAAAAAAACGTACAATCTATTTTGTGTGACCTCTCTCTTTTGACGAAAAATCTTTTAAATTCTAGCTCCCTATTTATAATAAAAATTAGAACAAAATCGAAATTATAAGTGTGAAATTCTTAAATTATTCTTAATGAAATTTTGGTGCATGGACAGAGAGGGGAGGGTTCGTGTTCCCTTTCAACCTCATGATGATCTTGTCGCAAATATCGATTCATATACTTATTTCGTGTAACAAGAATAATTAGGCTTTACAACGTAACATATATATCTACATGAGTATGTGAAGATTCGAATTATATATTCCAATTTCCAAGTTGAAGCCTGAAAAAAAAAAGGTGCAAAAATTGAAAACTTTGTTAGCATAGAAGTGGAAAATGGTAATTAAACGAGGAATGAAAAGGGAAGATGAAGGACATATAAAAAATGGAAAAAGTTTTATCGTCTTTAGAGTTGGAAGGAACAAGTGTGGGAATCCTCTTGTCAGATACACATACATGTATGTCTCTAAGTGAGGGAATCCTCTTGTCAGATACACATACATGTATGTCTCTCTAGTGCACCCCACCCCATCCCCACCCCCTCCTGAATACAAGGTGCATGTATGTATTGCATGGAGGTCAGGTCAGGTGAGCACAGCAAATCCTCTCTCAGTTACATAACTGTGCAGCTGTGCTGTGTTCTTTTCTTCTATAAGCCTGCCTCGAACCCTGCAAAGACACACTTTAGATATTAACCACCAACATGACATGCGTGGGTGGGTGGGTGGGTTAGTTTGCACATCTTTTGAGATTATTATTATTTCACGCGCCGCTTCTCGTTTTCAGCTCCTTTCAACTTGTAAACCCTAGACTAAGACCTCGAATTCTAGTTTTTGGAACCCTAATTAGGTTAATACTCAAATAACCAATTGGATGATGGCACATGAATCAAAAATAGGTTGTTGACCCAACCAGTCTGCCGAAGTAACGCTGTTCTTAGTCAACAACTGCAGTAATTATCTTACGTGACAACATTAAAGCGACATATATTAGTTATCATATGTGGCAGCTTGTTATTTGAGTCATTAACTTTTCATAATTTTGTTATCTCTAATAATAAGCTAATGCCTCAAATAACAAGTTGAAACATATGATGACTATTGTAATCCCTCGTCTACTTGTATCTACGCTTACGGAAAGTCCTTTGTAGAATTGAATTTTCAGTCCCATATCAGAGAGTCTTTCATATTCGAAGATCAAATAAGTCTTCGAATTCGTAGATTTTATCGGGTAAATTCATCTTTCTTTTTTATTTTTTATTTTTATTTTTTTGTTCTATGCTATTCCTTATAAAAAGTTTCTGATAAGCTCACCTGAATGGAGCTAATACTTTGAAAATTTTTGTTTCCTCAAAGAAAACTAAAAAAAAATACAGTTTTGGCCAATGAACTTTCAACGTAACCACTAATTTTATGACTCAACTTCAATTTGTTGCAATTAAATACCTCAACTTCAATTTAGTAAAAACAAGTGACTCAATTAATTCTAGGTCTCAACTAGTGTTATAAAAAACATAAAATGTGGCGAAGTGTAGAAGTTGAGCTTCGGCCTAGACAAGTTTAGGCGAAGTCTAGGCGTTAAAAAGCGTTGATTTAATATTTTTTAAATCAATCGAAAAATTATTTAATAATTAAAGGAAAAAAGCGTTGAAAGACGTAAAAAAAAACTTTAAAAAGTGTAAAAACATGTGCGCTAGGCAGGCCTATGCGTGAAAAAATCGAAAAATCGAAAAAATAAATGAAAAAGCTAGAAGTACGGCGTTTTGCTCTCGTTTCACGCTTATACGACGCCGCTTTTTAAAACATTGCTATCAACACATTAGCTCATTGTTGAAATTACACACTAAAATCTTTTACGAACACATTTGTTAAAGATAGGCACAATACATTTTCGAAAATCACATCTCATCTTGTTCAATTTCAAAGTTTTCAAAGAAGAATGTTTTCATAGAAGTGCTACATGAACAGAGCCACGTAAGCCCTGTGTTCGTGACAAGGGGGTTCCACGTGACCCTGTTCGTTTAGAATTTTCCATATTTTCATCATCAACGTCCTCGAAGATTAAGAACCAGTAAAAAGTTAATTATTTCAAAATAAAATACGAAATATTTTTAAGTTATAAGGAAGAAAAATAGAGGCGCTTTCAGCGAAACTGATAGCCCATGTTCTTGGAATTTGGGAAGTTGTGGTCGGACTAGCCGACTAGACAGGCACCCAAATCTTTTCTCAAACCCCTTTTGCTTTTACTTTATTTCATTTTTGCAAGTTAGGTTTGTCTCTGTCCCAATTTTTGGGTCCTTTTCGTTGTTACAGCCTTGCTTAGTTTGGGCCCCAGTTATTATTATGTTCGTCCGACTGTATCTTCGGTCCATGTTCATGAAGTGACTAAATTAAAAAAGAATTTTATGGAATAAAAAAAAATTATAATTTTTTTTCATCTTTGTAGTGCTTTTATTAAAGAAAAACTAACAAAAGCTTAGTTCAAATTTTTTTGTTCGATGGAATGTACAATATACCGTGAGGTAATTTTTACCTTAAATGTTATTCGCAAGGCTCAAAAATTCATATACAGTTGTAATTTTTTTCCAAAATTTTGATCGAGTAATTAAACTCCAATGTGTCTCAATTGGCTCTCTAAACTTTAATTCCATGTCAATTGATATACCGAATTGTGATTTAGTTTCAAAATTTACGTATTACTTATAATTACTTATAAGTAGAAAAATTACTCATAAATAAAAAATTCACTCATACGTGAAAATTCATTTACAAGTAAAGCAATCACTTATAAGTGAAAAATTACTTAGGTTAAAAAATTACTTATAAATAGAAAAATCAATTAAATTTTATGTTTTTCAATATTTAATTTTATGCAGTTCTAATACGTTGTAACATCAAATACCATATTAAAATAACTTATGCTAAAAAAATACTTATAAGTAGAAAAATAGCTTAAATTTTATGCTGTTCTAATATGTTGTAACATCAAATACCATATTAAAATAATGTATCATAATCCACCTTAATCCAAATCCTTTGTATTCTCTCTGGTTTTATCTCTCTTAATCGATGTTCTCTGCTTGAGTGTCGACATATTTTTTAGTGTCAACGTATACAAAACTTTATATCAATTATTGTGATCATCTTCCTAAAAATTATTGTGCTGGTAGTATATTTCTAAAAAGAGAGATGATACACGTACACACCCGAGTTTACACCCGGGTTTAAACCCAGGTGTACACCTCGGGATATACAAGTATAATTTTTCTTCTAAAGGATAGACTAAACTATTTCAAAAATGTCTACTTTTCTAAGTGCATTATGCTAGCCAATAGGCAAATAGCAAGAAGCTAAAGAATTGACCTTTCTACTTTACTTACACATAATTTTGAATAAACAAAAATATAATGTTTATCTTCACTTTAGACATATCTCTTTCTACATTTTAAACTTTCAACACCCACTTGCACTTTGATTTAGCTTGCTTTTACTACCTTGAATGACAAGTCAAGTATATGGGTTGTGTTAGGTCTGCCCAACGTGATCGACCAAGAGTGACCTCGCACGGCCAATATATTCAAAACCAAGTCGGTGGTAAACATGCAAACTAAGTAAAAGCAACCTTAGTGGTTTGAATCGCTTGATCTGGAAATAAAGTGAAATCTTTCTTTGTACAAGGAAACAGCAATTTAAAGAGGAAGGATTTGATTACATCATGTGAGTAAGCATGAAGAAAAACTGGAAAAAGAAAGAGATTAATAAAGCTGGTGTCTCCTACCTCCATCCCCGCCTGCAAAGAAAATCCATATATTGAAGATGGAATTTAAATAAATAAATAAATGTGTAACTTCTCTAACTATGATTTGAAATTACTATACTTTACCAATGGTGATCCCATCTAGGGCGGCTTTTATGCATCCGATTTTCACCATAAGGGTAATATGATTCTGTCCTTTTCGCGTTTTGGAAAGCACAGCAGCCAATGCTGTAGATTCCGATGAGGACAACAAGCATAACAATGTTAAGGATTGAGATTTTGTGCCATTTTCTTCGTATATCTTCGAGAACTCCGGCCTTGCATGAATCGCAGTCGTAGCACAGAATGTTCGGATCGTTGTTCCACTTGTAGCAGTCAGATTCTTGTGCTACCATTGTCGATGCATAGTTGCATGAAGTAGGCGGCTTGCAGCAACCTGACTGTTAGTTAAAGTGAAAGGAGAATCAATAATCGAAGGTACACATTCATCGATTCATTTTCTCATCAAAAGCTTACTAGGTACGTCTCATATATCATCCTAAAAGTTTAAGCAATTAAAAAAAGTAACATGTATATTACCTGAATCGGAGACAAGTCTTTGGTCGAATAATCGTAAGGCGTCCACGAAACAACCTTAGCACAAGTCTTTGAACCCAAAATACAACTCTTAACAGTCATCCAATAATGAGGATCCTTAATTCTTTTCCTCAACCATGGAGAATAATTATCGAGATGGTACTCTCTGTAAACCCTACCGGCCACCACAGCGCCACCACCCCGGCTCGTTACAACGAAACCAAACACTGTTAAGGCCATCAAAGTCACTATAAGCAACAACATGATAACCAGATACACCCAAAGTGCCCATGCAACATGACAACAAGCCCCAATAAATCCAGCAAGTGATACGATGAGAATTATGAATCCCACAACCAGAAGGGGTTTCTGAAGGAAACTTTCGCATGTCGTACTGCTTTTTGCCATCCATAAACCAGCACCTATGATTGGGATTGAGGCTAATAGAGTGCAAAGATTTAAGAAACCTATCACTGTGTTACTTAATCTATTCATCTCTCTATAGAACTCTGTGTGTGTGTGTGAGAGAGAGAGAGAGAGAGAGAGAGTGATCAGAGAGAAGAGAGAGGATTTGTGTTTCTTCTTCTTCTTCTTCTTCTTCTTGTTGATTCTGCTTTATCTTTACATGGAATGGCCATTTATGTACTTCTTTTTCATTTTATTTTACTTTTTCCATATTTGCTTTTTAGGTATTCAAATACTCATCATCCACATTCGACAACTATTACTAATTAAAGGCCCTTCTTAGACACTAAGGAAACTTCAAGTAAAACTTAGGTTGCAAGTAATAAATTTAATACAGTACAATGAAACACGAAAAGATATGTGAAAACGCTATTTTTGAAAAAAAGTAATATTGGGTTTTGATACCCAATAAATTCGGACAATAATATAAAACAGTTGACGGAAATTTATCGATAACATAAATTTGGCTCGACTCGAATATGACCGACACTTTTGGAAGGCCCAAGTTGGCACGACTCGAATATGACCGACACATCATAAAAAGGTTATATAGCAAATCAAATAATATTCTGGTGAAAACATAATTTTAAAGTTGGGGCAACAGGCAACTTACATTTGGTGGTTTGAAGGCTGAGCAAGTTCTCCTCTATGAGGAGATAGTCGTGATATATTTAGTTGCTTAAAATTATTTTAATAAATAAGAAATTAAAGTCGAAAGAGAAGTTATTAAAGTAGAAAAAGAATTGGAGTGAAATGATACAAAAAAATCTAGATTTCGTGGTAAAAGATAAAATGTTTTTATCAACCTTTCAATCACACATTTCATCAATTCGTATCAAAATCTGCTAAAACTTTTATTTAAAACGTTGTCAAACCATCATTAAATTTCACTATTAGCTTTGAACAGTTTCCTTGATAGCATGTTCTTTGAATTGTACTTGCTAGTAAAACAGAGGTATCCAAGTTCACATACTAGAGGTTGTAAGGCAAGTAAAGAACACACAATAATACAAAATAGGATAATTGAGTACCAAATTTTTGAAAAATTAATGGCAAATTTGGTGTGGGTTTTTTAAAGCATGATTAGACACGGAATGGTTTATTTTAATATTTCTGTCTTAATCTAATCTTTCCCTTGGCTTTGTTAATTGAGAAGTTTGATTCTCTCCGGCTCCATTTTCCCTTTTGGCCCCGTTTGACACCCATTTCTCTCTATAGAACTCTGTGTGTGTGAAAGAGAGAGTGATCAGAGAGATAGAGAGGATTTGCGTTTCTTTTTCTTCTTCTTCTTGTTGATTCTACTTTATCTTTACATGGAATGGCCATTTATGTACTTCTTTTTCATTCTATTTTACTTTTTCCATAGTTGCTTTTTAGGTATTCAAATACTTATCATCCACATTCGACAACTATTACTAATTAAAGGCACTTCTTAGACACTAAGGAAACTTTATGTAAACCTTAGGTTGCAAGTAATAAATTTAATACAGTACAATGAAACACGAAAAAAAGTAGTCCTGGGTTTTGATACCCAATAAATTCGGGCGATGACTTGAAACAGTTGACGAAAATTTATCGACATCATAAATTTGGCTCGACTCGAATATGACCGAAACTTTTGGAAGACACAAGTTGGCACGACTCGAATATAGCGGACACATCATAAAAAGGTTATATAGCAAATCAAATAATATTCTGGTGAAAACATAAGTTTAAAGTTGGGGCAACTTACATTAGATACCGTTGCTCAATTTTGGTGGTTTCAAGGCTAAGCGAGTTCTCCTCTATGAGGAGATAGTCGTGATATATTTAGTTGCTTAAAATTATTTTAATAAATAAGAAATTAAAGAGGAGTTAATAAAGTAGAAAAAGAATTGGAGTGAAACAAAAAAAAAAAATCTAGATCCCCAACTTTTCAATCACGTATTTCATCAATTTGTGTCAAAATCCGCTAAAACTTTTATTTAAAACGTTGTCAAACAATCATTAAATTTCACTATTATCTTTGAACAGTGTCCTTTGGCTTTGATATATAGCATGTTCTTTGAATTGTCCTTGCTTGGGTTTCACGAGTATAATTGAAAAAGAAGCTAGAGGTTGAAAGGCAAGTAAAGAACACACAATAATACAAAATAGGATAATTGAGTACCCAATTTTTGAAAAATTAATGGCAAATTTGGTATGGGTTTTTTAAAGCATGATTAGACACGGAATGGTTTATTTTAATATTTCTGTCTTAATCTAATCTTTTCCTTGGCTTTGTTAATTGAGAAGTTTGATTCTCTCCGGCTCCATTTTCAATTTTTTAAAATAAAAAATAGTTATATCAAGAAGAGTGCAAAGAGATCACTCGAAAGTAACTAATGGTTCTTTTCACGCGATTTTTAAAAGGTCAAAAGTAATTTTGAAATTTAAGAAATTGTTTTTGAACTTGTCGGAATAATTTTTAGTCTGACAATTTCTCAGAAATCTCTTATCCAAGAAGTAAAAACAAAAGCATAAGTCTTGTCTAACGGGCTCCAAGTATGCCTTCCCTGATTAAAACTTCGTTCTTCGAAGTTAGAGGAATGAGGATAAAAATTAAAGCTAAATGATAAATATGGAGGAATGAGGATGCTGCCAATGAATACAAATCTATTGCAAGAAAGTTTTTACACGATAGATTTATGTAAATAATGAATTTGATCCAAATGTCAATACTAAAAGACATAATTCTTATGAGATATAAAATCTTTAAGCTACCTTCTCTTTACAATCTTCTTGTATCACTTGCGGAGACGAGAAAGGAGTGCTATGTCTGAAGAAATTATTATTCCCTTCTTTTCAACAACAATAGATGAGGATTTCCTAAAACCTTTTAACAGTTTGCTTTGAAGTAGTTGATCAAATCAAGGTTTTACTTGGCATTGGCTTGTCCTTCAGAAACTGTCCGATAAGAATAAAAGCTTGTCGAGGGCAATGAAGTGGTACCTCATGCCCGGCTCCAGTAACAGTTACAAGAGTCAATCCTTTGTATACTTGGCTCCATCCACCAACCTACATATATAAGAAAAAACTATAAGAGAAACTAATGATCAAAAAAGACCACCAATCTACAAAGGAAACTTTTTGAAAGAGCCCAACAAATCCTTATTCCCAATAAATTTGATAGCTAATTTATGTTTTCGAAGAGAATAATGCTATGTAGCCCCACTGGAATTGCAACCCAAGTTTAGGTAGCGTTAGATAATATGCTAAATGAAAGGTAAAATTAAATGACTAATTTAATTCAATTTATCATTTAATACCATCTAAACTGGGGTTGCAACCTCAGTGGGACTAAATAGTATTACTCTTTCGAAGATGAGAAGGAAAAGAGAAGAAAATGATTCAGATACATCGAACAACGAGCGTATTATTAACTTTTCAACAATTCTTGTTCTTTAAATTTTGGCGTGTCATAAGAGATGCTGATCACGAGTATCCTTGTTAAAAATGGAAAAATGCCAAGATTTGTTGTCATATGAGGAACATAAAAATAAGAATTGACAGAGACAGAAAAAAATGTCATCCAATGCCGTTAGCAAATTAATGTTCATACTACTAACCTTTTTATTGTCATACCACGGGTACCATTTAGTAACTGTCGGAAGCTTCAAAGCATCAATTGAATATCGAGTTGCTGTCACAGGAACCACTGAATCGGTATCCCCACTGCAAATAACCAAGTGCAAGACACAGACAATGTTTAAAGCTTCCACACATGGAAAATATGATAGTTTCCACAAACATAACAATAAAAAATTGCAGAGATAATTTGACTCCACTCATTTTTGGCTTCTCAAGTTGTACCAAGAACGTGAACCACGGACAAGGTTGGCATATGTCATATAAAAAGTCTGGACAGACCAAATATTGTCCTTGAAAAATAAAATGAATATCTGAAAATGAGAAAAGGAACTCTTCAAAGAAACAACAATTTGATGATCTCACTTGCAGTTGAACCCAACTTAAGGGCTAACCCCACCCACCCTCTCATCATTATGCTAAAACTCCAGTCTCCAAGTATCTAATAACAATGCTCAAATAATTTAGAAGTTTATGATCAGAAGAATTTCTTGATAAGAATACATTATTAACTCAAATCTAGTTGTTATCGGTTTAAATCTTATCCTCAAGTTCTTTTCGATCATGGTATAGAGCTGGTAGAGGCTTCTCATTTTTTCTTTGAAGGGAAAAGTCCATAGGCTAAACTCATCACTGTAAAACCAGTTAAGATTGTGAAGTCTGCTTTTAACATTATGCATTGCACCTCAATTTCTCAATTGATGGAAGATATGCTAATAGAAACTAGTTCCCATTTTATTCTGTAAAATACCACAAATTAAACTTGCCTGGTTACCAGAAATTCATATCATCTTCTCCAAAATCCACAATCCCCCAAACAGAATGCCCCCAATATTAACAGAGCAAATGGAAGGAGGTGGCACCACCTTATTTTATACCCATAGTGTAGGATTCAGTTTTTCTAGATCATAAGAGATGGTGGTTTGGTGATTGTAAATTTTCCATTGGGTGTAATATAACTGTGATCATTATGAGATTTGATAACAGGTTCGAGTATCAGAAAATTGAGCATCTCATGAGCATTTCTGTTAGTTTTCTGATGGTGGCAGCGCTGGTGAGTTCAGAGACATAAAATAACAACACGGATGGAGAAAGGTGTAAAGATTCAAGGAGAATAAACGAGGGGTTCATACCTAAATACCCAAATCCGGACACCAGCAACTATAAGTTCTTGATAAATTGGAAGCATGGACAGAGGAGAATCTGCCCAGGAGTCGCCAACAATATCGCTGCAAATTGAAGAATTCACGTAAAAAAAATCTTGTCACCACTTATCCAATGCGTGTTTGGCTAAGCTTAAAAATTGGTGTTCACAAGTTTACTTGTATGTAAATAATTTTTAAAATAAACAAACTTTTCGTTAGTCAAAGTAGAAATAATTTATGTTGTGAATCCCTACCTTAATGTCAAAATATGTAGCATCTTTTAATTATATATAAAAAACTAATTTATCTGAACATGTTTGAAAATAAAAAAATAAAAAATACTTGAAAGTAAGTTTAAATAACTTTTAAGCTCAATCAAACATGCTAAAAGCATAACAGAGACTTCCAAGCTCTAATTCTCACCTGCATGTTTTCCATGGATAAGGAATCTTTGTTACGTTGGCATGAAATGCCTTTTGAACCTCAGGGAGATTAAAGTAAACTTGAGAGTACCTTTCAGTGCATGGGTCATATGCTCGGGACATCCATGGCTGCATATGAAACCAGAAGTGTAAGTTTAGCTAAAACAATACCGTGTTACAATTTTTCGTAAGCATTCAAGCAATAATCAAACTTCTAAAATAAGCTAAAATTAAGAAGGGCCCTGTTATGCAAAATGTTGGCTGTAGGCCAGCTCAAAATTTACTATGTAGTAAAGAATTTAGGGTGTGTTTGATTGCAAGTATGAAATTTGTATGGAAAGAAAATAAATTCTAGGCAATTCAATTGCCTAGAAATTATTTGTATGGAAATTATTAATTACATGTGTTTGATTGATTTAGTTTTCAACCTAGAAAATATTATACTTGTCTATTTTTTATTGGTAGGCACATGAGAGATGGGGGATACATGAGAGAGAGAGAGAGAGAGAGAGATAGTGAATTAACTGGAAAATAAAAACCACCCTTCCCTAAAGAAAAATGATTTCCTTGTTTTTGAGAAAAATATTTTCCATGGAAAAATTGTCAATCAAACACCCAAAAAGTAGAAATTTGGGTGGAAAAATGACAAATTTCATGAAAAATCAAGCCAATCAAACACACTCTTCGAGATAAAATTATGGAAGAATAAAAGAAAGGAAAGGAAGAAGATGTGTTCTGATCCATGTGTGTGGTAGATTCTAGTTTTGCTTTATGATCAAATGCTGACAATAGAAATAACAGGAAAAGTTGCCAAGAATCATTTTATGTATTGAATGGAAAATAACAGAAAAACACGTACGGGAAGATAGCATACGATGAGTGAAAAATAAGTTAAAGATTTGCTGAAAGTCTATAACATGGTTTGAGAAACAAAGTTCACGTTTTACGCCAGTCACTTGAAACGTAACTTGTGTTTGTAATGCAAACTCGACTTAACTGCAAATTTAATGACTGAAGGCATGTGTCTAGCTAGTTCAGTATTTTTTTTATTTAAAAAAAGACAAAAAAAAAACTTACATAATGACCCCTTAATCTGCGCTTAAGTGAAGATGTATCATTGCAAGGGAGAGTGTAAATGCTATAGGGGTCAATGTTCCCCTGCTCCTGTTCTGCAAGAGCAAGAGCCTTAACACATTCACTTGAAGGATGTGTAGCAGATCCAAAGTCACAAGTTATCCGCAGAACTTTGTAAGTAGAATCAGAAATTAAGCCATGAGTCCACCAATACTCGAATGTGCCAACGTAATCATGGTAATCATCAGTAACAGCATTCCCGACCTAATAGATGAAAACGCGAGAGAAGAATGAACCAATGCTTTGCAAAACAAACTTTATAATAGTCAACTAAACGATATTCAGATCACGAGAGTTTCATGTGTAGTACCATGAATCCCTTGAAATTAATTATTGGATTTTGAATTCCCTTATTTCTTTTGAATATGATTTGAGATAGCTGAGGAACATAATGTCCTGAAAGAATCAATTAATAAAAAGCAAGATAAGCTTGTCATCTCATTGTAATATTGACTACTTCATGTATAAAGCTTAAATTAAATGAATGGGGTATATATTACACACCGGCATAACTTTCTCCTGCGATGTAAAATTCTCTATGTTTGTATTGAGGAAACCTTTCAAACCAATTCAGAAGAAAGCTGTATGCATCTTCAGCTACACACAACACCCAAATTCAAATTATTCAGTGTTTAGTTTAAGCAAAAATGATATATCAAAAAAAATATTATTTTATGGCTTTATATACACAAGTCCTGTAGCCTGTAGGAGTGGAAAAATTAATAAACAAGATTTTAGATTATTTTTCTTCCTTGGATTAGACCTATTTTATGGCATCATAAACATAGTGCATACTGAGCAGGACTTGAGAATATAATAAACAAGATTTTAGCTTATTTTTCTTCTTTATTGCGATGTAATCCTTCCTATCAAACATGCCAATTACAATAGAGATAAGTCATTAAAAATGGAGTCTATACAATTTTAATAAGTACCTGTTTTCTGGTCACCTGCAGTGTATAAATCTGATGAGGTATTTGAATACGAAAAACCAACTCCAGCTGGAGACTCCAAGAACAGTAAATTCGCCACTGCAAAAACTTTCCATTATTTTAAGAAAAACTACCAATTCGAAACCATAAACTCGTCATTATTACAACATAAATTCGAGAAAATAAGTGAAATTGCAACATACATTTGTTCCAGGAGTAAGGATTGAGGTAAAGAGTCTTCCCATTGGAATTAATCCGAAAAGGCCCAATCTCTTCTGCAGCTCCATAAGCTACAGAAGAACAACCAGGCCCTCCATTGAGCCATAGAACCAGAGGCCTTGATTCAGGCCCTCTATCCGTAGGTGCTTCAATTAACCAGTAAAAAAGTGCCCTTCCAAATTGCTTATTCACAGTCACGTAACCTGAATACTGATTGAACCCAACATTTTCTGGCTGTCCAGGCAAAGAAATTATCCTATCTTTTTCTTGATCTACACTAGGCAATGAATAACAGTTGCCCACGAAATAATACAAGAAAACAAGCCAAACTATACTCAAAATTGAGTAAAAACGGTGACCCATTAGTTAATTTACCTAAAGAATTGAAGAATGTCTAGAAATCGATGAAACCCAGAAGCACAAATCCCAAAATGTATCTGGGTTTTGAGGGAATTTATCTACGGATTAATGAATGATGAGATTGGCTCATGAAGGTGTTTATAATGAGCCAATCAATGAATAGAAAAACAATAAAAACATATAAAACTGAGGAACACAAATTCCAAATTAATTCTGAAATTTCAAGAAGGAAAAGTCAGCTGCTTTTAATGCTTATACATAAACATTACCCCAGATATACAGCTAACATCCACTGCCTTCTGTTTCATTGAAGTATAGCAGTGAAAGCAGAAAATTGCCCATAAAATGAATGGTCAACAAAATACAAAACCCCATTTTCAGTTTACTCCAATTAACTTTAGGCCCGTTTGATACGTCAAATTTTCTAGGAAATTAATTTCCATTTTTTTTACTGTTTGATAGGCGAAATTTTCCACAAAAAATATTTTCAATACCCACCCTATTTTCCGGGTTTTTGTTGAAAATTATTTCCAACTTTTTCCAGG